GCTCGAGGTATCTTCTACCGTTCTTGAAAAAATTTGATTGTGCTCGAGGTATGTTTCGACTGTGCTCGAGGTAGGTTCCGACCGTGCTAGAGTTATGTTTAAACTGTGCTCTGCCCTACTCGAGGTATATTTCGACCCAAACCCCTGTCTCGACTTTTCTTTTTCGGTCGAGCCCTTTGAAAGTCGGAACATAAAGTGAGCACCTCAACCCGGGAAGATCAATTGTGAATGTCTGAATTTTATACAAGACTTTGAAATCTGCTAGGTATTCTGCCGATGAAGTTTTACAGTGTCGTCAAAATTTTCATGCAATAAAAAATCTGGATTAAAAACGCGAACTTTGGGCGAGCTATGGCATTTTTTAAGATATAAAATTTGATTTATAGCCCGCGTTTCAATCACCAGCAAATTTAGGGGGAAGACGCGGACGCCCCTTTCCCTCAAGAATTCGACACCCTGCAGACCCAAAGAAACCCCCCTTTGTACTATTTTGAGATAATTTTGAGGGGGAGCGCGTGCAAGAAAAGCAATTTTTTGGTCAAAATTTTAATTGCCTCAAAACGCTTTTTTGGCCTATTTTTTAAAAATTTTACCTGCGGCGCAGATGGTTTGGTCAAAATGGGGTCATTATAGTGATAGGAGAGCTCGGAAAATTAATTTGGTCGAGCTAAATTTGGTCGACTTTGATGAGTTTTTTATTAATACACAATTTTACACAGTTTTTTTGGCACTCTTTGGAAAATGTTGACCAAAAAATCGCGGTTTTTTGGCGCGCGCTCTCCCCTCAAAATTAGTATATATCCGTCACCAAAAATAGATATCTCGAAATAGCCCCTGATAAAAAATAATCATAAAAAGTTGTTTTCAGGCTAATAATCAGAAAAAAATCTGCTTACAACCCCAGTCTCAAGTCTGAGATCAAGGGTGGATTTGAGGGGGGGGGGGGGCTGGGGGCGGACGCTTTTTTCCTCGGGGATTCGACCCCTGCCGACTCAAAGGGCTCCCCTTTGTACTATTTTGATATATCCGTTTTTGGCGACGGAACCTAAAATTTTTCTAAAGGCGCTTTCGGCACCAATATATACTAATTTTCAGGGGGAGTGCTTTCCGAAAAAACGAGATTTTTTAAATAAAAATTTCCAAAAACAGTCTAAAAACTGCCGAATTTTTTTTTGAAAATCCGCCCAATTCGAACCATCCCCGCCTCAAAAAAGCGCAAAATTTCGATGAATTTTTTTCATACTTTTTTTCTCGACCCTAGGAGTTGGAAGAAACTATAGATCGGGATATTTTGTGACTTATAAAACTCACGCCACTTTGCCTTCCTAGGGGTGGCGGAGAAACAAAAAAAAACTTAAAAAATACCATCAAAACTGTGCAATCAAAACTTTGTGCTATCTTTATGCGGGGAGAGAGGGGTTCTATTGGAGCTAAGAAAATTATCCTCTAATGACTCCATCAATGTCTTTACTTGCAATTCTAGTCTTTTCAATTGTTTGAAATGGAAATCAAAAAGACATTTAGTTACATCATCGTATAATTTTTTTGTAGAAACTCAAAATCTGATCACCACCAAACTGCTCGCTAAACTGACATGCAAAAAAATCAGATGCGTAGAATAAAACAAAATACTCATATTAAGGTAAACCCTTGAATGTTTTGAATGACCTTTAAAGTCGATCAAAAATTTTTGATTCAGAAAGTTTATTCAAATTTTTTAGGAAATGAAAAAAAATGAAGCTTATTTAGAGTTTGAATTTCATAATTTTAGCCCCCCCCCCCCCACACCATCACCCCCACCCCGACCCCCACAAATTACCTTTAATGCAAATTTCAATGTTCTAAGTCAGATAACGTATTACTAAGCGAAAATTGTTTGGTTCAGCTCAAAATGAAATGATTTATAAAAGAATTTTGATTTTCATTTAGAATTGTTTTCATCAGAATAGCAGCAAAGTGAAACAAGTAACTTGGTGGAAAACAATCACAGTGAAAACAACAATCTTTTCCTTTTAACGTTGAGCCCAGGGCATCTGTCAGATGGTATAAAAATTCCTTCAAACATGGCTAGTCAAAAAATCGGAATGTGTCTGAAGAAAAAAACACCCCGAGCACAAATATTTCTTCACCTTCATCAAAATTCGGAATAATTACAATTCAAACTGGGCTTTGTAGTTGGTAGAAATAGTGTGATGATTGCAATTTGCAAAAGAGTTTTTGATGCGCTGGCTCGTACGAATCTTACCGATAAACAATTTCTGTTTTTGAGAATAAAATATTTAATTGAGAATAAAATAGTTTGAATTTTTTTAAAATACAGTGTAAAGCGCCAGATGGTGTAATGAAATCCCCAAATATGGCGATGTAAAATGCGAGAACGAGCTCTCACTTGAACTCTAGCTTCAAGTCTACCGCAGCCTGGCCAATTTCGGCTGCAATAGTATAAGCACGCGAAAAGTTAGACGCAAAAAAAACGGCCATGAGTTGCAAAAAAAGTTCTTCAACAAAAAAATCAGTCTGGAGTATGGGAAAAAATAGAAACTGACTATATGCTTTGGCAGAGGCCTGGTAGTCTTTCATAGATTCTCTGCGCCCTGCAGAAACCTAAATTATTATTATTCATGTTCATGACTTAAAAATGTATTGAATTTTTCGTGTTGATCCAAAAAAATCAAACTTTTTTCAACAGGTTTCTATAAGCCGTCAGTTTGACGACATTCAGTTCTGTCATTAGATACAATATGACAAATATATAATTAAAACAAATATATAATTTATTCACGGTTTGATAATGAAATATACTATTTTTTTCCAGTTTTTCTTTTGACAGGACAGTCGAAAATCAATGGTTAGGCTCTGAATCATACGGTTTTAAAAAAGTCAATCGAAAATTGGACCAGACTGTTATGCTTTCTTAGGATCAAAAAGCTGCATACACACTAGACATTAAAAACTGAAAAAAATGGCGTTTTCCTCTGCCCAAATTAAACTATTTATGGAGCACCAAATCATGAAAATGGCGTCAACAGTTCGAGGCATTCATGTTCACTTTCTCAATTAGTTTCTATTGAAAAAAGTAGTCAATTGAAAAAAGTAGTTGTTCCTTTCTGAAACATTGTCCCATGGCTTATTCAGTCCCATACTGGAAAAACGAAGACCAACAATTGGGCGCTATTCGCTAAAAAATGGGCTCATTCAGCTCTTGTTGCTGATAACTGGTCTCATTCGGCTTTTTTCCCTAAAAATTGGGCTCATTCATCTCCGTAGAAAAAAAGAGGCCTTCATTGACCAATTTTGATCCAGATTTCGATATTTGCTCTCATCTTAAATTCAATACTGAAAAACTGTTGTAGCATATATATTATGACATGCGAATTTGTTTGGTGAATAAACAAATGTGAATGCTGAAAAACCAAATTAGCGTTGATACTGAGTTTTGAAACTTTGTTTGGTGAATAAATCAAATATTTCAAACAGATTTGGTTTTCTTAGTCTTCATCAAAAACCTTAGGTTTTTGGTCGAGATACAATAACAACTCTGGAAATAGAAATGCGAGAGAGCGGAAAAATGAGAAAACTTGCTGCACGGAACAATTTTCTCAACCTTTTCAACTTATGCCTGAAGTTATAGAAAAATTCCGAATCCAAAGTTTATGGGCCAAACAACACGTTTACAGTGCATGCCAACTTCGTAACAAACGGAAACTATGAATCAACAAGGGTAAATATACAGGTAATTCTTTGCAAGTGGCGGAATCGTAGTCAATAACAAATTAGTCAATAAAAAACTTGCCAGTTTTCATTACAATTGGACAGCGTGCAATTTTTCTTGACAATCGAACAAAAGTTAAGTACGCTTTTCCACCTGCAATACCGGTTGCGGATATCTTCTCTTCTTTGGCACTGGTCGCGAGTAGCTTTTGCTCATTCGCGGCGTTTGCGGATAATTTCTTCTCTGTGACGCCGGTTGCGGATAAAGTTTTCTCAGTTGTACGGACCGCAGATCATTTTTCTTGTGCGGCGCCGGTCGCGGATACCTTTTCCTCAGTCGCGCCGGAAGCAGAAAACAAGGAAACAGGAAATTATCTAGTTTTAAAAAAAATTAAATTGATGCTGAAAACTTAGCGTCATGGGAATCAGTCGCAGAAGCATTTGATTCGGTCGAGCAGGTCCCGGTGAAATTTTCTTCGGTCGCACCGATTGCACTTAATTTTTCTTCGGTGGCACCGGTCGCAGATTACTTTTATTCTGCGGTACCGGTTGCTGATATCTTCTCTTCATTGGCGCCTTTCGCGGATATTTTTGCCTTGGCGCGCTAGTTGCGGATAAATTTTCTTACGCGGCGCCGGTCACGGATTAAGTTTTTTCAGTCGTACGGGCCGCGGATAACTTTTCCTCGGTTGAGTCGGTCGCGGATAATTTTTCCTCGGTCGCACGGTCGCTAATAACTTTTCCTTACTCGCGGCGGTTCCGGATAAATTCTTTTCTGTGGCACCAGTCGCTGATAAAAAATTGTTCAGTTAAAGGAACGCGGATAAGTTTTCCTCGGTTGCTTTGGCCGTTTTTATGGAAAAAGGTCGTCGGTCGCAGGTGCATGTGATTCGGTAAATGGTGAATGAAGCAATTATTTTAGGTCCCGGTAAAATTTTCATCGGTCTCGCCGGTCGCGGTTAACTTGTCTGCGGTAGATTCTTTTAACTTGTCTCACCCTCCACGAGTGACATGGCGATGAGAACCCGCATGACCGGTCTCTGGTCCACCTCCACCAGCTGGTAGCCATTGCAGGCCAGTTCCAGCCAGTCTATGGCCGCTATCAGGTGGAAGTAGAGGATGATTGAACAGACTGTGAACACTGTTGGCTTCACGTACAGACACGGGTTCTGTCAATCACAATCGCCATCATCATCATCCGTACGCTTTACAATTTTTGAAATACTTCTACAAAAGCAGAGCAGGCAAAAAAAGCACTATTTTTTTAATTTGAAAAAAGTTTTAACAATTTTTAGTAAAACTTTTTAAACATGTTAGAAGATAATTTCTTTCAAAACATTTATTGATGCCGTCATTAATTAAGAACTTTGAGATTAATCAAGTTTGAACTGCGTTTGAGCCGAGAAACAAACTTACAGCAAACGTGATTAGGAATCTTGTATTTTGCCACTTAAAAACTGACTGCCTAGAAAAATTGTCGGCTTTGGTTTCTGTATTTTTTTCGACATATATTTTTAGTCGAACAATTCAAAAGTTTTGCTGAAACGCGCAAAAAATCTTCCAAAAAGTGCCAAAAATTGGCACCTTTGCATTGTTTTATGAAAAAATTGCCTGTGACTTACATTTCAGCAGAACACGGTCTTCTTAGTGTTTTAGGAAACTTCAAGAAATCTATTTGGTTGAGCTAAAAAAACCCAAGCTCAACAAAAACCCAAGCTCGACAAAAAATCACATCCTTTTAGCAATATTTGTTTTCCTTTTTATACATCAAATTTTGCGTCAATTTATTCATGGTTCAGTAAAGTTATTTTTTAAACTGCCAATTATGTTTCTTGAACGGTTGATGATTTTCCTTCCCTCGATCATTCCCAAGTCGAAAAAGAATCGTATAATCGGGTGATGGGCAAACATGAGGAAAATCATCAGGTAATACACCAGGTACAGGTGATGTAATGCGCTCAGATCACGTGATCTCTGGAATCGGGTGGACGTTCGGAACTTTCGCCAACAATCCAGAGCACAGATGCTGAGCAGAATCTCGACCACTATGCGAATAAGCGAAGACTGTTTCATGAGAAATTGATACATATTTTATGATGAAAATTGAATGATTCTGTTCTGATGTATTATTAACGATAATGATAAAAATTTCTAACAATTAAAATTCATTAAAACTTAAAACCGAAACGGTAAATTCAGCTTTTCTGGGATCATTAAAATTCCAGTTTTTCTATAATTGGTTGGTGATAGTAAGATGAATTACAGCGCATTTCAAAAATGCGCAAGGAAATTAGAATATGTTAGAAATTAGAATTTGTTGGTTTGTGGCGTTTACAGGAAATGTTGCGAATTTCAAGGTTGTTTTTTTTTCCCGCTCTTTCTAGTAATGTAAGCTTGGTAGGACTCAAGCTATTTACGCCAGTTGATGCTCAAGTGAAGCGGTTAGAAAATAAGATAGAGTGAATTCAAATAGAACCACTAATTTATGAAAATTGTTGCCTAAGCTTATGAAAAAAAATCGTTGGAAAAGAAAAGGTTTCCATTGGTTCTAAAACGGCTGAAAAAGTTCAAGAAAGCTCCGAAATAAATCAAAACGGCTCTATAGTCGCTAAAAAACTGTTAAGAAAATGACTTATCAATGGGAGTTAGTTCCCAGCTACAAAAACCTTTTGTGAATATTAAAAGCATTAATTGGAACAAAATTTGGCCTCTTCATTTCCGAAGCGTTGATTCCAATTTGAAGAAGGGCGCATTTTTTGTCTTCTCTCTTTCATAGAATGGGGTAGGAATTTTGTTAAAAAGCAAGAGACAAAGGGTCTCCGTTTTGGCCCAAATCACAGAACAAAACGCATTCAAATATCCGCAAAACATAATAAAATCAAACATATTGGCTTTGTTGAATAGAAACACAAAAATGCTTTTTTCAATAGGTTGTTTTGTTTTACGCCAAAGTACAAAAAAGAAATCAATTTAAAAACAAAAGAAGCATTATTTCTGTATGGATGGCAATCTTGAACCGTCGAAATTCAAAGAAAAAAGGGCCTATGACTGACTTTTGGAACTCCATCGATGCTGATCAAAACCGTTTTTGAAGAATTGTCCAATTTTTTTGCTTCAAAATGTCTTTGACAAAGACATTTCATGACACTAGTTGGTAGAACGAAAACTTGAGCGAGCCATCCTCAATAAATTTCCCATTGAGCAGAAAAATAGGGCTGATTAAGAAAATTATTACCAATAACTAGTGCTCAAAAAGATAATCATGATGCAACAGATATCCGGGTCATTAAACAATCATCATGTGGTCACCCAGCATTGGCCTTATCTGACTTGAAAAACGCGCGTGATTTCAAAATTTCTCCCGATTTTTGGAACAAAATTTTATTTGTTGCCAAAAATGACTCGCCAAATATTGGTTCTACAAAATATTCCCAAGAGTAGCATCCTAATGTTAGCACCTTTGGTTCCCTCATCTGGACTTACGCAATTAAAATCTCACGTGATGTAAGACGTTTTGTTCTTGATTTTTTTTGTGTACAAAAACTATCCTAACCAAAACAAAAAGATTTGAAAGTTTTCTTATAACAACCCAAATCATAACCTTATTGTTATTGTTAAAAATTTTTCAAGACATTCCCGAAAAGTTTATGCTGAACTTGTGTATGGACTTTCATTTGTGTCGTTTTTTCAAACAATTTGACCTGCTCCTTCTGTACTATCTGAGTTTAACGCTTTATTATGAGTTGATCCCGAATCATCTATCACTCTACACGACAAATTCCTGTACATATATCACTTATTGCTCCGACTTTTGAAGAAAGCGAGGAATATATATGCGTGGGTGGTGTTTTTAATCAGACCAAGTTTAGAAAAGTTGACTGCGTATGGGCATCGATCCGGCAATGTTTTGATTGCCAAACGAGTATGTTTGCTTTAGACTAAGTGCAGCTTTGCTGCTGAAATGAATGACGCTTTGATAGTTTGTTTCAATGCGCGAATTGTTTATGCGGCAACTTATCCACACTCATAATTGGTCCAAAATGAATTGAGGCAAGCGAATTGGTCGTATTAATTCTATAAGCGAGACTCGGTTTTTAACACTTTGATAATATTAGACTAAAATTTATTATACCAAAAATATTTCGAGGCCAGTTATTGGGCAGTCGGAACATTCAAGGCTTTGATCTGATACGAGCAAACTTGTTAAGTTTAAGGCAACAATATTTTTTTTTGAAATTTTGCCTCTGGTTTAAGTCGACTTTTTGCCATGGCGCAGCCAGCTGCTTCTTATCTAGACAAGCGTACGGATGTGCTAAGCATTCCAGTGTACTAGAAGCAGACCTGAAAAATATCGATCGGGCAGATGTTGTTGGCCATCAATTTAAGAGGGCGCCATCCTTTTTCTGCACTGCTTTTGCACTGCTTTTGGGGTCTTATTAGACATCAAAAACAGTGCAAGATAATCTTTCACCCAGATATAAGCAGCCACTGTCGTCGAAATCTGACCCAGACACTGGAAAGAGGATAGCGATAGATGCGGTGAATGAGTAAAAAGTCTTAGAAAGAACTGAAGCCAGAACACTAACAAGGATGGCCGATTGCTGTGCAAGTACCAAAGAATCTGCCAAACACACAAAGAAAAAAAATTTATGTTAATGTCGAATTTAGTGGGTATTGTGATTCGAGAGCTATGCAATTGCATAATAAATTTATAAATTAGAAAAGATCGACAAGTTTTTCTCCAAAAATGAACAAAAAATTGAAAAAAAAAATCCAAGTTTTTGTAAGTTTTTTATCCTGAAAATGTTATTTTGAATGCGTTAATTTCAAAATAACGAGCGTTAATCCATCGCATTACTTAGTCGAAATTAGACTAAACCTCAAAAATATCAAACCTGGTTTTTTCGACAATGGACAATTTTTTTGAAATTTTATTTAAAGTCGTTCGAATCACAAATAAAAAAGCTTTAGAATGATAGACACTCCTCCCATTTCGAGAATTACTTATTGTATCTGATTTTGTGTTGAAATAAAAAAGAAAAAATTAAAACACACCCGAATACAAAATTCCTCCCCATTTTCAATTGTCGAAACAAAAATACTAAGTATCAGTGTTTCCGTAAAACTCATTTAGCTAAGGCACAGACTGATACTTGCTTACTGTTTGTTTCAGAAACTGAGGAGAAAAATCATCGTCAAAATGAATTAGCAAGAAATAGTCCTAGTATTATTAATTTCAAAAATTTTTACGGAAAATGTGGAAAACAATTAATTGGATAAATTATTTGTTTATTTGTGATTAACTGATCCTTTATTAATTTCTCACAACCCGTGTCAACTAATGCACTGGCAATCATGTGAGCTGTTGTAACAAACGAAAGTTGAATTGGCCATTCAATCATATCTGAGCTTGATGCTTTTATTCAGAAACAATCTGGGACGAAATCTTGTTTGTTCTACAAATTCTTGTATTATTATCGATTCTTTTTACGACTTTCGAAGAACGCGAGGAACATATATGCCCGGGGTGGTTTTCTTATTCAGATCAGTTTTACAAACTTCTGGTCTCTTACAAATTTCTGGTTCAGTTTTACAAAGGGGATCGATTGCTTGATCTGCATAGCTCCAGACCGGTGTGCGCATCATTATAGTAACCAGCCACAGTTCTGTTTAAACTGGAGAGTTTATAATTCACACTTTATGCACTACAAAATTGAAATGAGGCATCTAATTGTTTTTATAAACTCCTTTCTTGACTCAGATTGTAACACTTAAAATTTGATATTATCAGCCAAAAAGCTCTGCCAATAATTGTTTTACGAAAAACAATTCGAGACAATTACACGGTAGTCAGAGAATTCAGGGTTTTGCCCTGATACGATCAGTCTTGTTACAGTCATTTCCTGTATTTGTACTTATTGTTATCTTTCTGTGCAGTGGTCAGCTGAGCCTAAGGTTTTCGATGACAAACTTGAAGGCAACTGGGATTCTCAAACACTTCAAAAAATTACAGGGTGCTTTCAAAACGTGTTTTTTTAACGTGTCGTTTCTCCCTACACGAATATTTGCGTTTTTGAACAGATTTTGTTTCCAATACGCAGCAAAAATCTGTCAGGTTTTGATAAAGTATATCATTGAGTTGGAGTATTTTTTGTTCACGCATGTTTTTGCAATTTAATGATTTTTCACGGCATTTTGATCTGAACAAGCTTCGATAGCACTGAAATAAAATAATCGACTAAAATGAATTAAGAAAAAATTATAATCTCGTTTTATTTTTCCAATTGTGGACTTAAAATGATGAGGAGAAAAACTATTTAATTTTTTACCAGCATTTTCATAGTCCAATGTATTTTGCAAATTTTTCATCAAAAGCTACACGCTTAAAATGGGACAACTAGTTTGAGGGGACAAACATGGTCAGGTCAATTGATGTAAGAAAAGTTGCCATTACACTTCGAAACTCATACCCTTTAAAATTTTATTCTATTTTTTTGTGTCAATGATAACTTTAATAGAGCATTTTGAAGTACTCCCGCAGAGATCGACTTGTGTTGAATTTTTTTTCAAGCCATATATTTTACGATCAAATATATATTTTACGATTTTTTTGCATGATTTATCAGATGCATGGTTGTTCAGATAGAAAAACGTTTCAAATATTTTAGTGGAAGTATTGTGCTTCGTGCACTAGACTGAATACCATTGTTTAATTCAAAACACATAAAATTTATAGATGAAAATCGACAAAAAAATAAACAAGGTTTTTGATCGCTCCGCAGTAGCGCAAAAAATTATCAAAGCATTTTTTTGCGCTATGTTTGCGCATTTTTTGCGCTTTTGAGATTATGTTTCAAAACTTCCCCATTGCGCTATGTACAGTCCAAAGTGATGTCTTTCACCCCTCTTAACGTATTACTTAGGTTTAAAATACTTATTACTTAGACAAAATAGCTTGCTTTTTACTGATTACTTATTACTTAGGCAAAATAGCCTGCTTTTTTTATTACTTAGACAAAATAGCTTGCCTAAATTCAATTTGGAACAACCATTAAGCCGTATTAAATCGCCTTGACTAGCTAATAGCAAAAAAACTATCGCTCGGTTCGATAATTTTGGCGCTAAATCGATTATCATAAATAGTCTAACTTGTAAAAAAAAAAGTTAACACGGGGACAGAAGCGGTTTACTTGCAAAAAAACTCGGATCTCTTAAACTATTATCCCCTAGGTACCTCATAACGAAAGCCCCCCATTATAAAGAAATAAATGAAAGGTTACGCAGATGAGAATTTATGCATGGTAACATTTGCAAAAAGGGCAATAGTTAAAGAGATCCGCTCCCCCTCCCCTCTCCTCCCCTCCCCTCCCCTCCCCCTGAACCTTTCAAACCTGGCGGTGAGGTTTACAAAAGGAGGATATCCTCTTTTCTTGAAAACTGTTTTACGGCAGCCATTCTTAAAACCCGTGAAAATCAAAAAAGCGTTCAAAAGATGGCTAGAAAATGTTTCGGATCTATTCAATCCACAATGCCAAATAGCGGGGCTCCAAAAAGCTGGACTTGCATAACCCTAAAAAGCGGGAAATTGCATAACCCCCTATGGATAAAGATATAATTTTAGATTGGCGCAATCCGCAAATTCTAATTGTCCTTTTCAGATAAACGATTTCAACTTGAACGAGTGATTTAAACTACTTTAAACTATCGTTACATTTTGATGTTTTTTACTTTTTATGCTAGTCGAGCTTTTTGCTAGTCGAGCGGTCGCCTCCTAATTAACCCAAGTTGACAATTTCAAATGCCCATAAGTTTTCAAACATTATCACATCTGAAATACATTTTTAAAGTCAAGCTCAGGACGTCAATTTCTTTCAGATGGTGTGAAAAATTCCGTTCATAACTATCTAGTTAAAAACTAGAAATCTTTGGGGAAAAAACTAGCCTAGCACAACCCGTGCTGCAGATCTTTGGTGAATTCATACCTGAACTGGATAAAGCCAGGTATTTTCCAGACCTGAGTCAGAACTGGGCTTTATCTATTTTAAGGCTGCTGAGAACTGCTTCAGATCTGCATCAGATATGATATCTCTGAGTTAAGCAGTTGTGGCCAGAAATATTACGCTATTTACTTCCAAAAATCGGTACAACAAGATCACCGCTTTCATTTGTGATTCACAATAATAGAAACTCAAGATACTTAATTTATGGAGGTGGAGCAAAAAGTTGAATGGTCCAAGAGGAGAATGGGTCCAAGAGCAGAAAAACAGAAAAATATTAACTTTTGTTGATTAATACGGGCTAATTGATAAAACAAGTATTATAATCGTCAATAATACCAAGAAAACGAAAAAAATATGCATGAACTGAATAACTTAATCAAGTTTTTCCAAGCAGAATTTAAAAACAAATCTGGATTAAATTGTTCAAATTATGCATAAACTATTGCTTTTTGGTAATATTGACAATTCTTATACTTAACTTACCCATAGGCTTATAAAATTTGATATTTTTCTGTTTTTCTGCTCTTGGACCCATTCTGCTCTTAGACCATTCTGCTTATTGACTGGCTACCTTAATTTATACTCAGCCAAAAACAAACGAAGACACGAAGACAGGCTTATTCCATTTCCAGAAGTATCTATTCCTAGACTTCAAACTTCGAAAGACTTCTCATGATTCGACTCAAAGTTTGGGTGCTCGACATTCAAAGACACTGATAAATAGACAGTTTCGACAAATGAAATGTCACGAAGATGTTAGTCATTCACTTCTGGAAGAAATAGTATATG